TTTCTGAATTTCCAAATTGGCCGATCTCGAGCACAAAAGTGATTTCTTTTTCCTAGCACTGATCCGACCCTGCGCTAATATTTGTTTTATGTTTTATATTTCTAGAGCTATTTCCGTCGTGAGCTATGACTCCACAAATATCTAGAATTAGCGCCTTCCAGTTTATCGTGTCCTCTAGGAATATAAAAATTAAAACCTTTCTACTTGAAAAAAAGTATTTTTAAAATTAGATTAATTTGACAGTATATGCTCAAATTTTTGAAATTCAGAACCTTTCGCTTGCAAATAAAAATATTCTCTGGTTTTCCAACGGTTAGCAAATTTCAAGTTTTCCAAGTTGATCTACAAAACCTTAAACTAGCATGCTAAAATGAACTAATTTAGCGTACACCCTGTATATTATATCACCTGTAGATGCACGTAGTGGGTATTTGCATGCGCAATGAAACAACTTAATCCGACATCCAGTGCAATACAGCTGTTGTAATTAATTAAAATTTGCCGACATCTTAATCGATTACGTTAACGAGAAAGTAGTGCCAATGCAAGCGGCGGGGGTCGACGTAAATGGGACAGCGGACGTGCCATTGCACGCGGTCTTAGTTATCTTTCAATTGTTTTACACGTCGTAACTTAAGCCCCGTGCGGAACATCGACATGCAACGTTGCCACAAATGAAAAATTTTATAAACACAAAGTACCTATACGTATAAAAAAAAGAGTACACATAAAAATTCGTACAGAACAAATTAATTAATATAATCTTCAAAAAACAAGGTTATCATAAAAAGGAATCATTTATCTCCTCTTCTGCTAGCAATTAGTTCGGTAAATGTCTAGATGATGGGGTGGGTGGGATCGAAAGAGGAGAAGGAGATTTCCCTCACCACTGTAGCATAAAAAGTTCGCGGCGGTCTCACACCCATAAAAAGTTATGGGGGTTAGATGGGGGTGGGGGTAGGAGGAGATCGAAAAAGGGTGGTCACCTGAGTAAAACTTCATAAAAAATTTGCGGCGGTCTCACCTCATAAAAAGTTATGGGGGTTGAAAGTTTATTTTGACAATTTTCATACACTATAATTCAA